CAGATTCTAGCTTTGGCTTTTCTATCTTCCAGCCATGGCTGCTGTCTACCAGCAACCCATCCAGGTAGTGACGGTCGCCACCACTAATAAAAACTCCGGGCGATGGAGCACCAACCTCTGTAATTGCTGCTCTGATATGCACACCTGTAAGTGAAGTCAGCAAATTTTACAAACAGCAGTGATTTCTGCATCAACTCTGTGCTATTTTGAAAACACAAGATGCAGGTCATGAAAGGAGACGTTAATGAAAACTGTTACAAACTCAAGGATATCTTACATCTCTGTGAGTTTTTCTTCCCTCAAGGTTGCTATGGCCTTTGGTGTTTACCCTGCATGCAGTGTGAGACAGTCAGTAGACATGGATGGTGCTGCGTCTTGCCTCTCCTGGACGGTTGCTGTGTGGTGTCCTACTTATTCCGCAAGTCCATCAGGGAGCGCTACAACATCCCTGTAAGGCTGGATGACCAGTAAAATTGAAAGTGAAACCTATTTTTATTGGAAATAAGAATTAAAGTTAAACTTAACAAGCCCAAAGTGAGATAATATTGCAGCCCTGGTTTTGATGTTGTATCCAACAACATTTTAAACTGTTGCAACCACGACAGCTTCAGAGAGACTACATTAACTCCTGCTGTGTGATCCTCTCTCCTTCTTCTCTTCTCATTTGCAGGGTTCATCCTGTGCCGACTGCTGTCAAATATTTTGGTGTTACGAGTGTGCTTGGTGCCAGATGCATCGTGAGCTGAAAATCAGGGCCAGGCAGGCACCTGCCATCTTGACGGTGGTCACCACGCAGGTCATCCATGGATAGAATATCAACCTCGTGTGTCAAGTGCATGTCACTTTTTCTTAATTAAACTTATTTGTCATAATATTGCAATTAAAAAACATTTAAGAAACATTTAGTTGTTTGTACAGCTTGAAATGAAAGCAAAGAAATGTAGCCCCTTTGTATCTGCTTTTTCATAGCATTGCAGAGCTCATTGCGAGTGCTAGCATGGTGTAGGTGATACGTGAGAGCCACATTAGTTGCTTTACTTTTAGAACATTTTTATTACGAAGATGTTTGAACTTTTCATAAATGCTTTGTTAGTGCATTAAAATTGAGGATATATCATGACATAGCATATAATATCATCACTTTCTTCCAATCGTTCACCAACTGGGTTTAAGCTATGCTAAAATAAAGCATTCATAGTCACCTGTCTAATGCATTCTTTCACCTTTTTTATACAAATGTATGAAAACACGTCTTCAAACCTTTCACCCTTTTCTCAAACCCTAAATACAAAAGCCAAAATGACCTGCATCAAAACTGTTTGTCTGTGGCCAAAACCACACAGTAGTTTTAGATCATGGTCGCCTTAGCAACGTTTAGCTCATTTATAATTAAACAGACTCTGTCTGTGCTGCAATAATTTTACAGTCACCCACGTATTGCCTTCCTTCTCTTTCTTATGGTTCTTGGTGTGTTCTTGTTCAGCATATTGTGTCATGGTGAATTGGATTAAAGGACTCAGGTGCGAGACTCCTTGCAGAATGACAGTGGATTTATTTACAGTGAAAAGGTGAGTTAACAGTTCGAGTCTATAATCCAAAAAGGGCAGTGCAGTGATACGGCGACCTCTCCTCCCGGTGACAGTGCAGTAATAATCCACAACAACTCCTGGTGCCGGCTCCTCCTCCAATCCCTGAACCCTGGAGGCAGATGAGAAAAAACACACGCTCAATAACGAAAACGTCCTCTCCTTCACAAACCGGGTATGCTAATCATGACTACGCTACCCGGTTTAGTTCAACGTTCCAGCGTTGGTTGTAACTCAACCGCCCCGTTAAATAGGTCTGCGCTGGCAAGGTAATTCCGCACAGGTGCGATGATTCTAGCTCAGGACACTCCCCTCCGGTCAACTGCCGTTCCGTGCCACGGCTTCCGGAAGTACATGTTCCAGCAGACAAACTACATGCACAGGATGGAGAGGAGAACACGACACAGTACACACAAACACCACAACAAATTGGCAAGACGATCGGTGAAGACCGTCTAGCCATGACATATTTCTGTTTATCTTATTCTTATGTAATTGTGTGATTTTGTATCCAGCATCTGTTTCTGGATCGCCTGTTTAAATATGCTGCATCAGATATGTTTGTCTCAACCCTTTTCATTTAGAAGTATAACAACATAAAAACATATATACTAGTGGCAATAAAAGATAAACAAATAACTGAAGACCTTCTTTGGGCAGCTCAACAGTGCCCTCTACAGTAAAGTTGATGTTAGCACAGCCTCACCTTCTTTCTTTCGCCATTATTTTGTTTCTAACCTTCAGTAGCTTGGGGTAAAATGAATGGTTAATATCAGATCTCCCCATGAGGTGACAGATAGATAAATATTTCCTGCAGTATTTTATGGGTTAAAGTGTTTATAGTCATATCAACAGGCTGACAATCTTTGTACGAGCTGTTTCATTAAACCAGTTTTTATTTGTGTTTCTCCACCAAATCAAAGGCTTTGTAGAACTAGCCAGCTGCAATTCTTCATTTTTAATAGATTTATGTTGAGCATTTCTCAACAGCTTTCTGAGTATGGAGGCCTACAAGTGTCAAAATGAATAAACCACATGAATCAAATTAATTAATTAAAATGGGAACTAAATAAATTAATAACGTATCAGATGTTTTCAATGAAATGAACTGATATTTAATTAATTACTTAATAGTGTATTTATTTTATTCATTTTAGTATTCGTGCCTTGGTTAACATATTCATTCTTAAGTTTTTCAGTTTCATGTAGTCCAAGCTGAAGTTTCAGCAGAAACCGATCCTTCATTTAATTGAAGAGATTTTATATGAACACAGGTTAAACTCAAGAAAAATTACAACAAGAGCAATCAAGTTTTATTAAGCACAGAGATTTTATTAGTCAGATTAAAACCTTCCCTGAGATAACAACCACCACCTGATATGTCAATGAAACATTTAAAAAAATCTCATTTTAAAGCTCAAGTGTTTAAAACTGTATGAAAGAAAACTAACATGGAACACGGAACCACACTTGATGGTCGGAGCTAATGACTACACTGTAGTAATGAGCTGTGCAGGACTCTGAAAATGAAAGCAGATAGGACGCTATGCTACTTGATTCTCTTTGGCAAACTGAACAAATCCCTTCTTACGTGCAAAAAACTAAACAAACCCCAAAACCACAACAGGTCCTGAACATCAAAAGTGGTTGTATCTTATCCACGGACCACCTGAGTGGTAACCACTGATGAGTTAGCAGGCTGCTGGTTTTCCCTGATGTTCAGCTCACGATACATCTGGCACCAGGCGCATGGGTGACAGAAAATCACATTGCTGGCATCATCAACGAACGAGCCCTGCAGGATGGAGAAAAAGGAAGAAGAGAGTGAGGGAGAGGATGAAGCAATGAAGCAGAAGGAGTTACTGTGATTTAATTTAATGAAGCTGTCATGCAGGCATGTGCGGTGTGGAGTCCTGCCTGGGCCCCTAAACAATAATATTTAAGTATTAATCACAATTTTGCTAAATAAAAGGATCTGCCTTGCATCAGTCACATCACTACCATTTAACCAATGATTGCCCTTGAAGGTAGAACGTGCTGGTTATGAGCCAGGAATCAACTCACAAAGAAAACGTGCATTGTTTTTGCCTCCTGAGCGGTGTGGAGTTGTAGGAGAAACACAACTTAATTGGGAGATGCAGACGCAGATTGATGCAAAGGAAACCAGGTGTACAGCTCACACTATAGTCTGTAGCATATTAGCTTATTATGTAGTGGTCAGTTGTTCTTCTGTGGCAACTGATGAATTGAAATAAATGAGCATTTCTACAGGGCTTATATTTCAGTAAAAACTAACTAATATACATATCCACATAATTATGGATTATTATAATTACAATATTAGGAAACCCCCCACTGCATTTTCAAAAATACATTAAGAAACAGATTATATTAGATTTATATTTCAAATATGACAAAATGCTGAATTTACAGCAGCAAAATTATTGCATCTCTACAGTTTAAACATTTAATAAGCTTTCTGCCTGCACAGAGTGGACAGTTAAACAATCACTGAATCGTCATAAATACATTATTTTATTCTTATTACTTTAATATCAGAGCACTAGGAATAAATAATAGGAGAAGGATTCTGGAAGAAAACTTGTGGCCATATTGGACTGGAGAAGGTATAAAATGTCACTGTATGTGTGTGTGTCTACGTGTGCATGTTTTATGTGTATAGATTTTTTAAAATTATTATTCATGTTATAACATTGTCCAGACATGCCCTGTAAGGATATGAGGAGAAAACAGTGTCAAAAGGAGCTGTGTGAGGCTGCTAAAGGCAGTGGATCCTTCACCAGCTGGATTAAAAAGAGTAGGTAACAATAACACACGTACCAGTTGTTGCATTGCTGGTACAAACACAGCTGCAATGATTTGGTTCAATAACATTTTTCTATTATTACTTTATTACGGATTAGGTGCAAAAGTTATTCAGTTTGGATAATTAAATAATAGTTTAAAGCAATAGCAAATTGTGCCTTGTTCTCAGATGGACAGCAAGTGGAGCTCGATAGCTCAGATGAGATGGAAGGAGGGAGAGAGGCAAAGAGTGATTCACAGACAAAGCCTAGTTTATTTTCATCTGTTGTCTTATGATTCCATTGCTGTCACCAATCTTTGCATTTTATTTTTTATCTGATAACACTTGTTATCAGCAGCAGAAGCAGCAGCCACCCCTCAACAGCAACAGTGTACACCATCAAGTAAAAGGTAGGCCATGTTTGCTTTGCATTGTCCCCACCTGGATAACCAAATATCTGAGAGTTTTTCAAAACAAGCAGCCACAGGTGCAGATTTCTTCCGTATGCAGACAAATAAGAGAGTTCAAATTTGGATAACTTTCCATTTCCTCTTTTTCTAATTTGGATGCAAGCTAGTCCCTAAAAAATGTCATCCCACTCAGTTCACTGATGCCACTGAATGATAAGGTGACTTAACCTAACTTATCTTCAGCTCGACCTTCTGTTTTTCTGTCAGTAGTTTTGCAACCCATCCACCACAGCAGGTCTAACCATCATCTTGTAAATCTTCATTTTCACTCTTGCAGAAATCCTTCTGTCAACACTCATCTCCACCCACCCCACCCTGGCTGCACTCTTGTTTTCACCTGTGTCTGTTGCTTTGGATGGTTGAGTACTTAAAGAGGACATGAAAGAATACAAATATAAAGTATAATACCCTACTACCCTACATTCATCATCCTTCATCGTCTCTTGATTCAGTAACTTGAATATGCAAATGTGCACATTTTACTAATAAAAACCTACAGAAATCCCTATAAATTAAGGCAGCGGTCTCCAACCTTTGTTGCGCAATGGACCAGTTTATGTCCGACAATATTTTTACGGACCGGCCTTTAAGGTGTCACAGATAAATACAACAAAATAAAACCAGCACCGGTACCAAAAAAGAACATTTATTTATAACACACGGGAAAAGACTCAGGGAAACAGAGTTAACGATAAAAATGATAAAAACCATGAAAACCATAAATTTCACACCTGAGCATCAACTCTCGCGGCTCGGTACCAAACGACTCACGGACCGGTACTGGTCCATGGTCCGAGGGTTGGGGACGGCTGCATTAAGGGATGCAGTTTTGCTAATGTGAAGTTTTAACATCGAACTGTTTCTCCACCCCAAAAACAGGCATTTCTGGATCCACAAAGCAAAACAAACAATAGTGAAAACTTTAAAATGGTTCACAAACTAAGGCTTGATGTCCCAGTGGGGTCATCAATCTGTTACACACTGTTTAACATACGCCCCTCCATCCCTAACCCAGACTTACAACAATGTTGTAGCGCTTTCTGATGGACTGACGGAGTAAGCAGGACACCACACAGCAAATGTCCAGGAGTGGCATTGCGCAACACCATCCATTTTTACTGGCTGTCTGACACTGCATGCAGGGGAAACACCAAAGGCTGTAGCAACCTAGAAAAATACACAGAGACATTTGTGTTTCATTACTAGTTATTACATTGCACTCTGCTACCTTATTGCAAAAACAGTCAGAGAAACTGCTGTTTGTAGGATTTGAATGATTAACTTACAGGAGCTCATATCAGAGCAACAGTCACAGATGCCGGTGCTCCAATTCATTGCACTCATCCCTGGAAGAAACAAGGCAGAAACAGACACAGAGTGAAGGGTTAATGCCGTCATAAAGATTATCACTGCTAGAATATGAGAAAGGTAACAGACTGGTTAAAACTATTGCTCTCAACATGCTGCTTGTGTTATAGCTGGAACTGGTCCACGTAAATCACTACAAAAACCTGGAAGCAGATGTAGAAATGATCAGCGTGCAATACAGACAAAAAAGTTTGCCAACAAGTGGCAAAGAATTTACACACAGATGTACGTACACACATGTACATGGCAAACATTATTGTTCATATATATCTTTTAATGTAATTGTCTGGTAATAGTCTGTGTGCTTTAATGGATGTTGTGTGGCTGTGCCTTCAAACCCTTTTTGAATAACTTAAAAAAAACAAGCAAATGAAATGATTAAAAACAAAGTTTTGCAATAACCTGAAAAATGTGTTGTTATACTATAACTGCAGGTGCAGTATCTGCTGTTCAGCTGCACTCTTATATCTAACAGGCAGGTTAATGCACGTTGCTAGACCGAACCATGTGCTGCAGCCCTGCTTTCAGTGACATCGTGGAGATACGCGTTCAGTAATAAGAAAATATTCCACAGCCTGCTCACACCTTTTCTTGTCATTCCTGTGACGTGTCCATGGTGCAGCTGTATAGTTGAAGTTTTCAGTACTACTTTCAGTACTTCAGCGTCTGGCTAGACAGCTACACAATAGGACGCAGCATGAACCTTCTTAAACTGGCAACTCACTCTACTTTAATATCACCCAACTCCCAAAAGGTCTTTGTGTAGTGTGTCACAAAATGTGTCTGTGAGCTAAATGAACAGCTGCTGTATAAATAAAACCCACTAATGTGCCACACAGAAAAATAAAGGTGTAACAAAGAGAGGACAGGAGAAGAAGATAAATCATTATTTTCAAAGAGAAACTTTATAGACTGAAGAGGTCAGTTTTACATCTTCATTTTAGGGTTTCTTTATCAGATATTGGATTGGAGTGACTTCAGAAGCTATTTGAACTTGTTTGCATATCTTTCAGTACAACCTGTCATCAGTCTCATTCTTTTAAATATCTTGCGATAAAATTGAAGGATGGTTTTAACAACATTTGTTACTTAATGTTCATCCTCTCTTTTACTGACCCATGAGTAATTATGATAAGTAGACTCCAGAATTTTCTTTCTAATTCTGTGAAGATATGAAAACCTTTAAAAATCCCCCTTGTTTTACTCAGCATCACTTGAGTACACTGGTTCATCAGCTCACTTGAAAATGACTGAGAAAAACGATACAACAGTGCAGTAAGCTTCAGAAACATTGTTGAATGTTTCAAGCTGTTCATTTTTATAGAAAGTCTTTCTTACCTGGTCTCTGGTTTGGTGAACTTTGAAGAAAAATGAGATGAAGGGTAGAAAACCCATCATTTAACTAATACACACACATAGACACACCCCACCTGTTCACACAGGGAAACACAAAATTCACGATACACAGTCATTCAGCTAGTGTAAATGTAAAACAACTAGTTTGCATGTGGTAACACAGAAACATTGTAGCAAAAGTATTTGAAATATGGATGAAAAAGATAAATTTGTCCCCGGGTAAATGTCCCCAGGCAAAAAACACCACAGTGACTAGATACTTGGTCAGACCGTCTCTTACAGAGGAAGGAAAAACCCAGTGACTGTTGTTGTTGTTTTAAAAAAACAAACAAAATATTTGACTGACACTATTTTGGTCATTAAATGGTCGTGAACAGCCACTGAACCATCTATCAGCACATTAGCATTTTCACATTCATTAACATGTTCGCTCTCACTTGTTCAATTAGGTCATGTGATGTTACCGATTAAACCTTTAGCTCAGGGGTGTTAATGTCATTTTAGTTCAAATACTCACTTAAAGCTATTAGGTGAGCCATCAAATGACAAGCTAACAAAATCTGGTAAAAAAAAAAAATAAACCATCCTTAAAATGAACAGGTGGAGATGTTAAGAAACATAAATGCTTAATTTTATTAATTTTATTAAAAGGGATAGACTGTCAGGGTTCAGTGGCCCGTGACACCCAGGTCATGATATAGAGTGTGCAACAAAGACTGTAAAAATAGTCATTTACAAGGAGGAGGATTATTCGTTTTTATTATTTCTTTTGCAAAAACATATGGAAATTTGGGGAAAATAGAGCACCTTCATTTTCACATTGGTAGAACTAGTGACTCGATCTATGTGATGAATTATTCTTATCAAATCTTATTGAAGAAAAGTGACCTTTAATACGACCAGAGAGTTGGATTATATGAGATAGCTTTTACTTTTAGTCTGGTTGAGCTCAAGTGGGAGCGGCTTGCTGCTTGGTTGCTCTGTGGGATGGTTTATATGATAAAATATGTCAGGTTTATTTTGTTGGATTGTCATTTATGCTTAGAAATATATATTTATATATTCTTAGAAGTATATAGTTGATTGCATATTGGAAGAATGTCTCATCCTAGGAGGTCTGTAACAACTCTGTGTAGCATGTGTAGCATGTGTAGCATGAAGTGCGTTCACTCCTCTTCAGAGTGTTCTGGCATGGATCACACACCTCCTAGGAGAGGTCGTATCTTCTCTTGCTGATATATGGTATAGCAAACACACATATATCTAGCCCTTTGTTTAGATGGACCACTAGACTCCTGGCAACAGCTTTGGGGAGTCTTCACAGGGTCACATCTTGACCCCACACATACACATAAACATACATACACACATACCTGGATATGGATAGTATGGATAGTGTGTTGCACTTGCTAAGCTGGTGACTCCATAATGTGTAAACCCCACTAGTCAGCAAACTAAAGCTTTAAAAGAAATAGCATGGTGCAGTAGTACAGTAATTGCATCCAGAATACAGCGCAGTAAAAGTAGAAAGCAACATAACATGGACAAACTTAAATAGTACATCACAACAAAGTAAAGTGCTTGAGGAAATGTACTCAGATCCATGCTGCTCCTGTCTATGCGCTCATCTAATGGCGTTAGGGACCGTGAGACTAATAGTACTCATGCACAGTGCTGTGTGGTTAGTACCATTAACTCAAAGCAAGAAGGTCCTGGTTTCAATTACTCTGGCCCTTTGGGGCCTTTCTGAGTGCAGTTTACATCTTTCCTCATGACTGTGGAGGGGGTTCTCTGTGTACTGTATCACAGTCTATCACAGGGCTCTCTGTGTTAGCCTGTCCATGGGCTGTACCCTGCCTCTGGTGCTATAGCAGCTGAGATACACTCCAGTCATGGCTGCAAAATAGATAAGTGGAAGAAAATGAATGGACAGTCCAATGGCTTCAGTCAGGGGACAATAGGAGGATAATCATATTTCATGGCAGGAGCTAGTACCCTCACCCCCCCATCTCCACGTCCTGCTTCTGGCCCCACCCCTAGAAGCTAGTGTGTCCACACCCCCCTCTCTCATTTCCAGTTTAATGCTGGGATTTCTCAACTTCATCTAATTTTTTTTCAACGCTCAGAGAATCAGAGAAACGGTAAGACTAACTTTTCATATTGATGAACAGCTTAGTATTTCTGTGTAGTGATTAACATGTAAAGCTTGTGGGGGGACAAGACATCCAGCTTCAATGTTTTTTTTTCCCAGCCTGGTTTAACCATAGTTTGCCATATAGTCTATCTATTCTGTCAAATCTAGTAATTAGTCTTGCTTGACACTAATTATTGATGTTTGGTTTTTGGGGATTCCTGTCCAAGCTGGGTCAGAAGCTAGTGTACACATAATGCTAGTTCCAAGTCTGGGTTGAGGGAAGGGTCATCTGATGTAAACTCTGTTCTTGTAGGAAATAAGGGAGCGACCAGAAATGCCTTTCTTATCTTAATCAAGGACACCAAACAGAATTCTGCCCCCGCCTTTATTTGTTAATGCGTATCTCTCACGCATGTTTTGATTGTTTGAATAAACCATCAATGTACGAAACAGTCCTTAGTGGTCATAAGCTTGGCCACTAATGAACTGTTCACATTTAATATGCAAATAAATGTGAAATGCACATAAATCTGGACAGTCTGAAATCTCCTCTCATTTCAACCCTCATTTCTGGTCACACTGTGATTTTTAGTTCACATATTCTTGCCATTTACCTCACAGACAGGCCTCCACAAGAGTGGAGGACATACTGTAGGACTGATAGTAGCCTGTTAGCCTACCGACATCACTGCCTACTGACCAATGAATTCTCCAGAAAATGGTGTCACCTTTCCTGAAAAATCCCATGGACCTCTGTTGGGAGCCTGGGATGGTGTAAAGTTTCTCACTTGCGTCAGTTGGATAGCAAGTTGATAACCAGCTTTGTGCGACAAAGCTCACCTGATCCTAATCGCCTGCTTCAGGGTAAAGGAATGCAGATCAGAGGCGGAGCCAGACATTTGAAACACCCGGGGCCTAGCCCAAAAGGGTAGTATGCATGTGGGATTTTTTTTTTTTTTTTTTTGGGGGGGGTAGAAATGACTGAAGGATTAATAGGCTCTGTTTTGAGTTTTGTTCAAAAAAGAATGACTTCATATAGGAAAAAAATATATCACATATGCAGGACACCTTAAACTAGTTTTTTAATTAAGCAGCAAGGCAGAACAAAGTCGGGGCTGTATCAAGACACGAGGACTAAACCCCAATTCAACCAGACCCAGAACTGATCCGGAATTAAAACAGGACTACAACAGTTCAAAATCAGGACTACTAGGACTTAACCAAGACAGAACCAGAATCAGAACTAGATGATAGTAGCACTAAAAATCATCATAGACCTGCACTACACTTATTTTTTAATTCTACCAAAGTCCACTATTTAGATTGAGAAAAGTTTATATAATTATTTAGCCTTGTTGTGCAAACAAGCCTGCATAACTTAATAAATATAGAATTTGAAAAATACAAACCTAAAAAGAAACACTAGGTACGAGATACATGAGGACCTATGATACGACGTGATTCAACTTTGGTATAAGCAACATACAACTGTGTGTTCATTTTGTAACATCAATCAGACTAAATGTTTAATTATTTTTAGATTGATAATTATTATTATTTAACATATTTGTTTTTATAATTCAAGTATTTATTAGATTTTGCATTTTATAACAGCAAACTACAGAGATGCAACAACCAAAAGCAAGAAGCAAACAAACAAAAACAAACAAAAAAATAACTAAAAAAAAAAAAACCCACAAAAAAACAAAACAAGTGAGGTTTTACATATGTTGTATTAAGCTAAATAAAAACATATTTGTTAACTTTAAGAGTAAAGAGAGAAACTATCTGTATTTCTTAATTGTAAATGGCACCAAATTGTATTCAAACTTGAGCCACACTTATGGAGCTCCACAATTCTTTTCCTGGTGTTTTGGTTGACATCTCTTGATTTTCCCATGTCACAGAAACAGGCTCTGTGTTTTGCCTTATATGCATCCACAGCTGTGCCACCAATTTACTCACATGGACTCTACTAACCTATCAGAAGCTTCTTCAGCTCAGAATGGAATCGTCTGGAGTTTCTTATTAATTAACAATAAACTTAGTGTATATGTACTCCTCTGTCTCTCTTTATTCTGACATTTAACTAATTCAAAAGATATTTCAATATTTATTTATCCAAAACAAAACAAGTTTACTCTAAATTGATGTTGTACAGTAAAAAAATGTTCTTGTGTTTTCCATAAAGTGTATGTAAATATCTGGTTTCAACTGTGAATATACTGCTGTGTATTGAAATTCCTCTTGTTTTGCATAGAAATATACTGAACAACATACAAAGCATAATATATAAAATAACATCTACCAGAGTTTTTTCTTTGAAAGAAGCTCCTTATGTCCATTCTTGTATATCAGTGCATTACTGAAACCGATTTATTTAGCCGTGGAGGGAAACAACTGAAAATATGAAATAAACACACATGTAAGCTAAGACTCTCTAAAGAAACAGCATTGTTGTTGTTCGGCTTTTCATTTCACCATTTGTTGATTCACTCGAAGAGCAAGTAACGTAATATGGGTCAAGTGATCAGTTTGACATCAATCTTTCGTGATACACCGTCATATTTACATTATTTGTACAGTACGAATGATTTGCTTTGGTACCTGGTCAAACTTCAGTTCTCCTCTGTCTGCCTGGCTCCGTTTCTCCAACAGCGCACTCGCAGGCAGCAGCTGCCCCGCCCGCTTAGTGCCTGAGCTCGGATCATACCAATATCAGGGGGGATTTACGCACAGTCGTAAATTCCCACAGTGTGCACTATGTGCTTCGAATATTGTGTGTAGTTTTTGTTTTATAAAGTTGTCAGCCAGGCATCTAACTATGAAAAAATTACACTCCAAAAGACCCCGGGCTTCTGACAAAACAACCTAGGCTTAAGCCCAGTAAGCCACCCCCCGGCTCCGCCACTGATGCAGATAACAGAAAGATACTCTGGATATGCTGAACTGTACTTCATAGTACAGGGTCCACTGGTTTCAGATGATGTCCACCATGATGGTACACAAAGTGCACAGGCATGATTTGAGGATGGTTGGTGGCATGGGGTCCAGAGGACAGAAGAGTGCACTGCACGCAAATTCTTTGCACATATCACTCCAGCTATTTGTAGTGATTTAAATGAATCAGGAAACATCCTGTTATATATGTAACAAACCAGCCTGTTACCTTTCTCAAATTCTACCCTTGGATTTCTCCATGCATAGCAGCAATAACTTCTGTCACACTTCACGCTGTCTCCTCCAGGCATGGCTGGCCACCAGCAGACCAACCAGGTGGTGACAATCACCACCAATCAGAACCCTGGGCAGTGGAGCACCGACCTCTGTGAATGCTGTGTTGATATGAACAGCTGTAAGTGAACACTCAGCAGTCATTTCTGCATCAACCATCTCCTCAAATTGTCCAATCAGTTGCATTATGGAGCTTTTGATTATATTATGCTCTTCTCCAGAAATCTGAGATTCTCTAATTGGCACAGGAACTTAAATGCAGCACTCTGTTGGAGTGCTTAGCACTGTTGCATGTTCTCCTGCCTGGTTTCCTGTTGTTACTCTGGCTTCCTCCCAGAGATCCACTGGCAAGTTATTATTTGAACCAACGGCAGCTGAATATTCCAGGGTAACGAATGACCCTTGCAATGAAATGACCAAACCAAACATCACCAGATCATAAGAAGAAGAACAGAGGCACACGCTCAGGAAACAAGAAGACAGAAGTGACAATGAGCAGAAGGGGAAGTGTTTAAAAACCCAGAAAACTACCTGAAACCTAGTGAAATGAGGATTACATACTGGCAAGATTATTCCCTATTCCCTTCTTTTTTCCCCCATTTTCTCTTTTTCTGTTCTGTTTCAAGGTTGCTGCGGCTTCTGGTGTTTCCCCTGCATGCAGTGTCAGACAGCCAGTAAACATGGATGGTGCTGTGCAATGCCACTCCTGGATGTTTGCGGCGTGGTTTCCTGCTTACTCCGTCAGTCCATCAGAGAGCGCCACAACATCCCTGTAAGGCTGGGTTAGAGATGAAGGGCAGCAGGCGTGTTGCTAGGATTTTGAAACATTTGAGGGCATATGTTTTATAGTGAAATTAATATAAAATGTCAAACATTGTGCAGTACCTAATGGCTGAATTCTCATAACTTTTTCTTTTATTGTGCCATATCACCTCTTCCTCACCTTTCATCGTCTTTTGGTGTCTCATCTGTCGGCTGCCCTCCATCCAGATCTCTCATTTTTGATGTGATTATTAGATCTTTAATACGTGTTATTTCTCAACTTACTCAACCGACTATTCAACAAACATCACATTGGATAAAAACCAAATGATTAACTATAGACTGGCTTCACAGTCACATGACTTCCTGTTGATTTATGTTTTCTGTTTCTGGAACCAGGGTTAATGACTCACCCTGTGGCTGTGGCCACTGTGACATCACTATGATGTCACTCATTGGTTTGAGGAAAGCTTTAACTTTAGGTTCCTCACCATGTTGGCTATTTGGAGTCCGAAATGACAGTATGTTGATGATAGGGTAGAGTAGAGATAAAAGCTAACATTAACAAACTATAGTTGTGGGCAGTGTTGGTCAAGTTACTTGAAAAAAAGAAGAAGTAATCCCATTACTTTACTGATTACTTATTTTCAAAAGTAATTAATTACTTAGTTACTTAGTTACTTTTTAAAAACATGATTTACAACCTGAATAGGTGATAAAGCGATAGATCTTTCAGCCCAATTCTACTTTTTCTGCATAATCCATCATACAAAATGTAATCAAATGGAAAAGTCTCTTTTTTAAAACTTGTTTTATCAGTTTTAATCTTTACAAGTAACGCGTTACTGCCCATCTCTGGTTGTGGGTAACACATTCAGCTAACAAGCACTAGCTCAATCCTGGAAGGAGACAAAAGTCCCATTAGGGTTGCATCAGGAAGGGCATCTGGCATAAACTAATTTTTATTCATAAACAGAGAGAGAGAGAGAAGCATAGAGAAGTGCCTGCTGACCAAATTAGAGGAAGAGGAAATGGAAAGCTATTCTAATCTCTAACTCTCATAGATGTTTTGCCACTCAGTATTTTTTACTGTTCATGTTACTCTCACTGCTTTTATTAGCCCTGTTTGCCAATATTTAACAGTTGACAGTAAGTGAATATAGAGGATCTTTGAGCAGGTAGAAAAAGACCAATGCAGAGCTCATTGAAATTACTGCAAATCAGACTCCATCTGTTATTTTCCTCTGTCTCACTGAAGGAAAGGAAACCTCTCTAAATCCTGCTTGTGTGTGGTCCTTCACTGACATCCTGACAGTTAACAGCAAGGAAACTGGCTACAGACAGATAAAGTTTTGAGGAAATAGAGAGGTTGTTTTGAGTTGCATAAAGATTTGAAAAAATCGCTCCTCCCTGTTTCTCTTTCTAGTCTCGTGTTCAGTTCAGTACAAAGCAGCGTGAACAGGGACATTTAAACAGGTACAATCACGACAGCTACAAATTCAATCCCGATAACTCTTGCTGCTTCCTCTCCTCCATCCTGTAGGGCTCGTTCATCGATGACTGCTGCAAGATATGTTGGTGTTACTCGTGCGTCTGGTGCCAGATGCATCGCGAGCTGAAGATCAGAGAAAGCCAGCAGCCCGCCACCTCGACTGTGATCACCACACAAGCCATGCTGTAAACAGTTTTGCTCTGGATCAAAGGCATGTGTCCCATTCAAAGCCACATGTTTCAATCCACTTCTGTTTTATCTGCATGTAACAGTCATCTCAAAGCATTTTGACCTCAGTTGAATTTTGAGAGCTGTAAACTAACCTTTAATGTAAATTAACCTGTAGTGTGTTATTAGCCTAGCTCACTGTCATTCATTGTTTGCAGAGCTAATTTCATGTAACAAGTAATAAGAATGGTTATGCAGGGATCCAAATAACAGTGCTAGCTCACTGTATTTTTGTGAGAAGCTTATTTTGAAGTGACGAGTTTGACCTGATCTCACCAGACATCACCACATTTATCACTTTACATCTCATCCCGGGAATCTCCGAGACACACCCAGGGACCCGTATAACCTCACCTCGATGACCTGAAAACCACTACTGTGACCAAAACAAGGGGGAACCTTTTTCTGTGTTTAATAGTTTAATAGATGTGAGTTATATCCTTCATTTATAATGGTTCACATTTAAAAAACATACAGCCCAACACTGCCCTCTGCATCAGTACAGATGTTAGCACAGCCTCCACATTTATGCAACTCTTGTTATGTTCACTGTCCAGGCTGCAGTAAACCTGTTATTTTACTTTTAATTATGGAGACAGTGGAAACAATCTATAAATCCTTGTAGTATGTAAACCTTTATGCACATATGTTGAACTGAGACTTAGTGTTTAAACTGACCCTTTTTCTTATACTAAGATAGGATTTGGTGTATAAGAAAAAGAAACATCTTATTTAAACACCCAGCACCCAAATATTAGTATTCATTTAATGGCTCTCTTGTACTCTTTAAAATAAATAAAAAGTCTTTTGGCAAACGTGAGTCTGTCCCTTTACACTTTTACAAGAACAGATTTTTCACCCTCTGTAAACATGATGACACAAATGCAACTGAAAAATGCCAAATTAAAGGTTTATTCATTCACATGCTTAAACTTATGGAAACTGTGCTTAGTTATAGCTGAATGTATAGCAATCAAATAAATTTCATTTGACCAGATACCATTAAATTCAACTTTTTACACCAGCCAATAATTTTGAAGGAACTTCATTGGCAGTGAAATGAGGGAAGAGTTTATAAGCATGGTTCTGATGAATCCATTGTCTTCAGGATCAAGAACAAAGAAGAAATATTTGGCACCCACTTAGATGATCTAAATCAAACTACATCCAGCTGTTGTATTCAGACCTGGTTTCATTGAGACATCCCTAAATTCTGCTCTACTGCAGTCATTCATCTACATTTAACGTGTTAGTAAAATAAATTTGAATGAGGGGATTTTACTTCAGCACTTGACACCACACAACTTACTCAGCTTGGTTTGCAGTGTTTACCGACCAAACAAGCCATGGGCCCGAAGAGACCAATGACGACTGAGGGATTTGAGTAAATCAACATGTTGCTGAACATTCTGGCTGAGCTGTTTTAAAACATTTTAATTCTTTAATCTACAGCAAAGCTTCGTGTTGAAAGGACATTTTGCTTGTGGTTTGTTTACATGGAACTTTGCAACTTTTATCTCTTGTGTTTCTTGCTGTTTCTCTGAGCATTGCACAGTCTGTCCTTGGGGTGAATTGTTTTGTTAACAGACATCTGAATGCTCCGCTACTGCTTTTATAGAGGTGCATGACCATAAACCCTCTGTTACAGTCCATAGCACTTTTGCCTGATCTTTTCTTTGTAGTGTGATGTTATGAAGTCAGAAATACAGACAGGCACCACTAGAGCACAAGTCAAAAAGTTCACAGCAAGGTGGTTTTCATAAAGTAATAATAAATGATGCACTATAAACTGCATAAAACTCGACACGGTCAGTAACTCTCACGCTTAACTCTCGTTTTATTGGAACTGAACTTTTTTGGCCTTGAGTGTTTCATCTATTCTTATCTAACCTGGAATGAAAGCGTGTGTAACTGTTCGTCTTTCTCTGTCAGAGAGGTGGTTTCTTTGAAAATTGAAAGTGAGCAGAGCCTTCAACCCACACTTGACCACTCCCGTCACAATTTACAGTCATAGGTTGGACTTGCTCTCATTTTACTCATAACTCAGAGAAGCAGAGAAAAGGTAAGGACAACTTTCTATACTGGCAAACATCTTAAAGCAGTTAGCAGTCTTTGCGACCTAATAGTACAGTTTGCTATCATTTTCCCAGTGTGGTGTTGTGAGCCAGTCAGAGGAATACTTGCAGCACACGGGTTTACACGCACTTCATACTGCCTCAAGAAAAATAGCACAAAAAACTGGACATCTAATTATTATAAGCACAGTTTTGCAGTTTATACTCATAAATTAATGAATCTTATAGGACTGTTAGACTAGTTGGCATTCGACTATAAGTAGATTAATGTTAGCTAGGAATTTTTTAGTATATTAATTAAGATATTATTTCTAAGATATCTGAAGTAAGTTTATAATATGCCCCATGACCAAGGGTGTAATCGGCCTAGTGTCAGGTACATGGAATTTCCATGTATTGTCTTGTGTTCACACAAGTTCAACATTTCTTTATTCTATTTTTGGTGTGTTATGTTTCAGTATAGGGGTGAAGGTGGAGCTCAGGGAGGTGGTTGACTGATATCCTGATTGGGACAAGTGTGTTGGGTTTGACCTCAACCAGATAATTTAAAAGAGTCACTTCACTGTGTGTGTGTATTACAGCAAATTGTAGTTTATGGATCTCTGTACAGTGTAGTGTGCATTTTACATTGCAGAACTGGTGTAGATAAATTTGTTATCCCCCAGGCACCTCCATTAATCTCTAAAGTCCCCGTTTTAAGTTATTACGATGCAATTACAGTGCAACTTTTGGTAAAACACGTGGAAATGGAAATTATTACCTCCACGGTAACTTATCTTATCTTATCTTATCTTGCGAAGGCTGTGTGCCATGAAGCAAGGGCAACTGAAATATCTTTCATGTACAGCTTCACTTCTCACAACAGCTCCAGTCAGGCTATGTGAGCACACAAAGCTGGTTAACAACTTGATAAATTCATATGCAGTTTATCAGTCTTGTAGCAAAGGGTGCTAACGTGAACAAGATGGTATTGGAAACATGTGACAGTTGAGCTGTCCCAAACATGGACAGCTCAACAGGATCTATCAGTGGATTTTACAAACACAAGGAAACTATGACATTTGAAAAGCACAAAAAGGTTCAATATAAAATACAGGCAGAAAACTACACACCTGTCATATATAAAGCAACTGCCTGAGCATCTATTGCAACAAAGCTCTGCACAATAGCCCTAGAGAGTTGAATCTGCTCATCTAGACGTAGTATTTTCTGGACAGTACCATTAAAATCACTGTGTGTGCAGTTGAAGACCTTTGATCAGTAAGATTGGAAAAGGCTTGTAAACATAATGTAGGTTAGGGAAAAATAATCTCATGAAAAGGAATCTTACTGGAGAGCAGAGAAAGAAGGAAACACAGCACGAGGGAGAACATAACAAAGAGCAAGGGAAGACTGAGATAATATATACAAACACATGCTAACAAGGGAATGGGAAACAGAGTGACGACTGCTGTCCTTCCTCCTGCACTTCTCCACAGCTGGTGCTAGCAGTCTCAGCATCTGGACTGTGAGGACTTAATACTAGTTGTTGTTGCTGCAGTGCAGCTGCAGCAGCAGTCCCGACAGCTAAAATGTCGATTAATTTCTTTTTGCTCTTTTTGGTCCTTCTATATCAACCACACTAAACTCTGTTCTGCAAGGTGCCCGAGTGCACAGGGAAGGGGTCGGATACATTAGGAGATTTGACTCCAGTGTTGGTAGTGAAACACGGGCTGCTTTCAGTGCTTTTAGTGTGTGGCTGTGTGGCAGCCCTACAAGCCTGCCATAGCCTGTATAATTATATTGATCCATTGGCAGACAAGTGCCAAAGATCCTGTTAGGGGTTTACATGCACTAGAAAACACTTTGCTATGCATGTTACATGTTTATAACCACTATAGCCCGTTAACGTCGGTTTCATCTCTACATCTCATTTAAAAGCAACAGCTGACCAAAACTCTTTACAAGTTAGTGAATGAACAAGAGAAAACCATAGAAGAATAAATACAATGAAATAAGGCATAAGAAAAAGCAACAACAATGACAACAAAAACTCTCTTCAATCTGTGTCTAATTTTCTACTTCGTTTGCTCCAGGAATGGCCTTCCAGCATTCAACCACCCAGGTGGTAGTCACCACCACTGCAATGAGTCAGCAGTCTGGGCAATGGAGCACTGGCATCTGTGACTGCTGCTCTGATATGAACTCCTGTAAGTGAACCCAGCAAACCCTACAAACAGCAGGGATTTCTGCATCAACCACCTCCTCAGACTTTGTTTGCAGTCGTTTTGCAGAGTATCTAAAGTCAGGATATAATGCAGAGGTTACGCAAGAGTTTGTAGAATTTATTAAAAACTGGGGTAAACTCATACAGATATGGCATCTCTGCACATTTTTCTTCAAGGTTGCTTTGGATATTGGTGTTTCCCCTGCATGCAGTGTGACACAGCCAGTAAACATGGATGGTGCTGCGCAATGCCACTCCTGGACTTTTGCTGTGTGGTGTCCTGCTTACTTCGCAATTCTGTCAGAGAGCGCTACAACATCCCTGTAAGTGTGAGATTGGAGGATAAGGTTATTGTATTTAGCTTAAATTATGCTACCGTTGTATTGTATTAAGCTTAGTAGTAATTAGCAGTTAGCTTAGTAGTTAGCTTACATTAAGCTAACTAAACTGCCCCCCGAACAATGAACAATGCCCCCATCCCTAAACTTTAAGAGAGAAAAAAAATGCAAACTTCAAGCAATACTATGTATGTACAAAGCTTAAAAAAATACAGAAGAAATGTCTTCAGTATTAGTCAACACTTGCTGATGAGGTTTGATGAATATTTTATTGATACTCAGTGTAAGCGCCAAACGTCTGCTTTATATTTTATTTACGATTGAGTTCATGTTTGTTTTATAATTCATAGAATCATTACATAAGTCATCTTTTCAGGATTAATAAATGTGAAAATATATGTGTTTACATAAAGTAATTTTAAGTCACTGTTTTGGGATTGGAACCTAAAAAGGGGGTACCTCTCACTTTAAGTACGTAAGTGCAATAGTAGCATGAAACCCTGTGTGAGGGGGAAGGGGAGGAGCATGGACAGAGAGGTTAGGAGTCTCACGGTTTTCTGACCGTGTGCACAGCTAGTTCTGGATAACTGCTATTTTTTGGAACTTTCATGTTTTTTAGGAAGGAGTTCATTGTTACATCTTCAGTTTGTAATAAATAAACAGTCTTCAAATCATAATGCAACTGGAAGCATTTCTTTTGGAAACCAGGAACACGCGTAAGCCATAGACTCTCCTTTTTTTGAACTTGGTTTATTGGAAATTACCCTACACTCAGGATGACTGTAGTTGCATTAACCTCAAAATCAATAAAAATAAAGTTAACATATGTGGATGAAACATCAAACCACAAGTAACCACATAAATGAAAATAGGGAGTGCTGAGTGCAGCTTTTAATGGGCGCAAAGCACACATGGTTATATTTGTAAATTAGTGCAACTGAAGTAACACATGAACAAAATACTACACCTTCACTCACCCTAACTACTGCACAGACTTCTTGGGTGGGCTGTTAGAAAGCCTCATCGTTTGTCATATTATAGAATAGAATAGAATAGAATAGAATTCAACTTTATTGTCATTGCACATGCACAGGTACAGGGCAACGAAATGCAGTTTGCATCCATCCAGAAGTGCTTTAGTGATACAGATATATTACAATATATATTAGCAATAATATAGATATGTGAGTATATTACAGAAATGGGTCTATTATGTTATAATGTACACGGTATGAAGTATGTTGTGAATATTCTATAACTATAAGTATGTACAGGATATGAACAGGATATAAATATGAAAAACTATACAGAATATGAAATAAATAACTTTACAGAAATCTGAGATATACAGCTATACAGAAATGGGAACTATGCAAGTTGTAAACAGTTGTAGGGTTAAAAATTATCGAATGTACAGAATGATTATTTACACAGAGCTATACAGTAGTGCAGTTAAGATAAGTGAGATATAATTCTTACAGAGGCTATATAAAGTGCTAGTGGTTGTGAGTGGTGGTTCAGTCCATGTTATTGTGTGTTTGAGGGTACAGTTGTCCATTGTGTGTGTGTGTAGGTGGTTGTGGGTGTGTGTATGTTCAGTCCATGTGTTAACGTGGGTCAGATGTCAGGAGGCAGAGTTCAGGAGTCTGACAGCTGTGGGGAAGAAGCTGTTCCGGTACCTGGTGGTCTTAGTCCGGAGGCTCCTGTAGCGCCTCCCAGAGGGCAGGAGGGTGAAGAGTCCATGTGATGGGTGACTGGGGTCTTTGATGATTTTCCCAGCCCTTTTCAGACACCGCTTCCTGTAGATGAGACACCGCTTCCTGTAGATGCTTATTGTACTGTTTATTGAATTCTCCAGAAAGTACAAATGGTGCAAACATGGCAGAACAAGCCCGGCACACCCCTGACATTAACAAGTCATAAAATGAGACAGCAAACAAAAAACCCACTCCTATTGCAAAAGGGGAGATGAGCCAAAGGCACTAAACCTGCTGTAAAGTGGTTGGGTTTTTTTTAACACGAAGGTCTGCAGTGACTGATTCACTTTTAGAGTCATTCTCGAGTGGTGATTTGAGGAATAGCATTTTTTTTTTTTTTTTTGCCAAAGACATACTGACATCCACCACTTTTTGGTGGATGTCTGCCAGGTTTGAACTACATTGTCTTAAAGATGGAGTGCAATGCAATATTGCTTCAGTGCAGCTCAACAATGAGAACAACCAATGAAAAAAATCACCTCATTAAAAAGCTGCCATTAAAACAACAACATCAAACATTTCGCACCTGATGTACTAAATCTTTAATCTACTAGGAAGACAGCAAATCATTAAAGGAGATGGTAACAGATGAATTCAATAGCAAGCCAAATTATATGATATCTGATGGCAAATAATTTTTATTTTCTTCTTCTGCACATTGTACACAGCTGTTCTGCACGGTTTTG